CCGACGCCAGACGACGCCAGGGCGTACATCCGACCCCTTGGCAAGCAACAAAGTGCTGTGCCTGCCACGAGATCTGCACACGGAGGTTCACAAACTACTGCGCCTGCCACAAAATCTGCACACTGTGGTGTGTGAGACGTTGTGCATCCGATGTTGTGTGAGTGATGTTGTGTGTTGTGTGTGGGATGTTGTCTGTGTATGGGATGATCTCTGAGTGATGTTTTGTCATCCGACCCCTTGGCATCCGATGTTGTGTGAGCGATGTTGTGTGTTGTGTGTGGGATGTTGTCTGAGTGATGTTGTGGTGAAGCGAGAGATGTTGTTGTGAGAGATGTTGTGTGAGAGAGGAGGAGGAGCGCGGAAGGAGGAGCGCGGAAGGAGGAGCGAGGAGGTGCAGCAAAAAAAACAAGAACCCCACACAACAATGTGGGGAATTACTGCGACATTTGGGAGCTTTTGCCAGCTTCTTGAGAAGATGTTTTCCCTGGCTTGTGACACCAATCCCTAGAGGTGTTTTCTAGTTAGGGAGTTTCATTCAGAAGTGATCACATTGAGTACGGAACGAACATGCAAGGAATCACACTTAAACATTCGTGCGTCTGCTACTTCTGTGCAGCTTTATGGAATCCAAGAAAATGATTGATATTGATGGTCAGTTTTTCGTACAATATGACTTGAGAGGCTAATTGAATACTTGGTTTAGAGTTCACATCGGATCATATCAGAAGGATGTCCAATCCTCATGCAAAAGTTCACTTGACCCGCCCGGGGTATAATCTATTAATACAAAATGTCAAGTCGTTGATGTGCCGAGCCAGCCAACAGGATGAGACGCGAAAAGGTCCAACATGGTCCAAAAACGACAGCGTGATCGGTAGTGTACAGTGTACAGAACCAAGGAAGATCAAATCATAATCAATTATATCAATGTTTCAATGATTCAATTTCACTTTGATTATGATATTATGATATGTTGTTTGATTCATAATCCATTTTCAATGTTTCAATCCTCCAAATGCCCAGCCACAGGCGCCTCGCTGCTTCAGCCGCTCCTGCTGCAGCTCTCGGGCCTCCTTGATGCGGCTCTCCAGGCCCAAACCCCGCAGACCTCGCGGCGCGGCGTGTTCGGATGCGGCTGCGGCGGCTCGGCGGCTGTGCTGCACTCCCCGGAGTAATTATAGTGACGGGATCCTGGAGTGGCTCAGAAGTGGATATTGTGAGATCCAAAAGGGACAGAAATAGGTGAGCTGGCTTGCAGTACCACTCTTTGTTCTTGTGCAATTCCTTTGCTCAGATTCTGGTCCGAGCTGGGCTGGGCTGAGATCAGGTCCAGTTGACACAAGATGAGCCTTGGAAGTGGGAGGTGCATATATTGCCTTCAGATGGGCGGAATGAGGGGTATACCCACCCTTCAATAAACATGGAAGTGGATCATCTCCTCTTTGTAAATGAATATGATATTCCAAGAGACCATGTTCCACTTCCATGATTGTATATGATTGTTAGTAGAGGGCAAATCCTAACAACATCTATCTTGTTTACTCAGTTCTCTTCTTTCAAACATTACAACAAATCCTTGCAAAACTTGATGCTCTCACCTTTAACATGCAATTAATCTAGCTAATATTCGGAATGCCTGGCCGCAGTATCACACATATGATGAGTGAGTGAGCCGTCACTTTGGTTCATCAGCTTTGCACTGATGAGAGCATCGAACATGACCGCTGCTTCCGTATCAGATCTACCACTGGCCGCTCCTTCCGGACATCATTATGCACCTAATTACCTGCAAAAAGGGTGTCTTCCAAAACCCTTCTGTCCAGGAATTCTGCTTGTTCAGGTTGCATTGTTGCTGCTCGCCGCTTCGGTCGGGTAGAATGACCGTCGGTGACCGCCTCCGTCCCAATCCTCAGACCCGATCCACGCCTGACCAACACCTATCCACGCACTGTTCCGCCCTCTTCAGCGGTGAACTCACCCCCCGACGGCCTTGGTAGAGCAGCACCAACTCGGGCAGCTCCGTATTCTCGAACCGCTCCAGGTCCAACAGCCGCAAGACGCGCTGAGCGGCCAGCGGAGCGAGCGGAGCGAGCGGCCGCGCGCGGCAGGCGGCCGGCGTGACCGGGCCGGCGGCCGGGGGACGGGCTGTTGATGGTGGTTTTGAGGGAGTGAAGATGGATGAAACGGAGCGAAGATGGAGACCCTTGATGACTCTTCCATGGCTTGGATGAGATGTTCCTTTGATGGTAAATGAAGGTTTTGGAAGGACTTTGTAGGAGGAAAGCAGGGGTAAAACCTCAATCGAAACTCAACAATTGGCTTCTGTGAGCAACCCGCAGTTTCCATCCTCCTAGTTTCTTTTCGTTCCAGACCACACTTGGTTTAGATCCCGCCACTATCATTGGAGAACCAAGAGCAAAAACATATTCCTGAGATCAAACATGAGGGTTATTACATCAAATGGCAACGTCTGCTGGTATGGACCAAACATGGTGCTGATAGTGATTCCAAACTAGAACATTGAAGATACGCTGCCAGGACTGATGATAAAACAATATAAAACATTATGATAAGTGCAAGTATTGGGCTGCAAGTGCTTCTCGAAGGTTCCTTTTCTTGTATTCCTTAAGCTTCCCTTTTTCAGGCTCTCTTAAGGTCTACGAAATCGCAAACAACACACGAGGGAGGCATCCCACTTCTCTAACCCCTGTTGAGTTCATGAGCCTAACCTGGCCACAAACAACTGCAAGCTACTGCACGCCGACCCGCCGACCCCGGCCGCTGTTGCACGGTCTCACCTGCGAGGTGTTCGTCGGCAGTTCCACGCCCTGCTCCTGACGTTCGGGCCGAAGGGAGGCCAAGCTAAGCTGGATGCGAGCACAAAAACCACCGGAGAATTCTGGAGTTGCACCTGTCACCGAATCCGAAGATGTTTTGGGGCAAAACCATCTGGCGATGTAAACCACCCCATGTATAAAAACAATGCAAGAAAGACGCGGTGTTCGACCCAAATTGGTACTCAATCCCGGCAAAACATGGACGATCTGGAGTCACTGGAGTCGATTTCGACCTGTTTCCCACATCGTCCAACCTTTCACCCGTGGGCACAATGGCAAAGGCGCAGTGCATCAGGTTATTGGGAGATGAGGATGTGATGCGGCTTTTACGCCAAACCAAACAACGCTATGTTGCTGCGTGCTTCTCCTCAATTTTCCAGATATTCTGCTCTGAGATGATGGACTCAACGACTCCCCAACCACCTCTCCGGCTGAGCTCCGCCGTTCCGTCGATCCTGCATCATCCCCAGGGCGCCCACCGCGCGCGCGACCGGCTTGCTGGGGAAGCCTGTGTTGCCGTCCGATGGGGTTGGTGGAAGCGATATGATTGGTGGGCCATGGTCGTTGTCTAGCTTCAAAAGGGGATAGGACAGCTGGAATTCTTGTGACATGTTTTGCATTGCCACGCATTGCCACAACAATATGGGATGGGAGGTGGCACTGGTGGTGGCAAAAGCTAACAGTGGAAAGTCAACGCGCTCCAGGTGTTTGAGGCGCTTCTTTCTGCTTGCTTGGAGGAGATGGATGCACATTCCAGAAGTCTTACAATGTCTTACAGCACAGGCTTAATACGCTTAATACACATCACTCTCAAAGTCTTTTCGCCCGAACTGTTGGGTTCACCATAACAGGCTCAAAAAGCACAGCAAATGGTTGCATTCTCAGATTCTTTGAAAGATTGTGTCCTTCTCACACATGCCCCTTTGAAACACAACAACAATGCACCAAACTCTCAACCAAAGTTGAAATCAAAGGACTCTTCACCCATCCCCGCTCTTCGTCTGCCCCACCCATCTTGCAACGCCTCCAAAGATCTGTACAGAAGGGCCCCGTGAGGCGGCACCCCGCTTGGCGCCGCGCCAGAACGTCTCCTGGATGTCGCATGCGGTTACAACACCTCCCCATGGATCGGTTGCTCAACCAGCTTAAGTACTAGACAAAACTGGGGAAAGCTGGGACCTACACTCTGGTTGTACTGATCTGTCCAAGTCGCCGCCCGTTTCATTCTGTGAGGACGCTGAGGGTTCAAGTTCCTCTCAGAGTTCTTTGAGGAGAGTCTGGAAGGGACTTCACCGTCCTTTTCCTTCTATTGAGCAGCTTGACGTGTTTGGTCTTCTGGGGGAAATGTTTGGGTCTCTGCGGAAGAAAACCTTCAATTTGCAAGCCTTTATAGACCAACAAAAAGAAAAAGGGGCGCTAGTTCCGGCATTGCAAAGTTCCGCAAAGTCAAACAACGTACATGCAGCTTGGAGACAGAAGGTGTGCAAACAAGAGGTCCCCCTGACAGATACTGTTGTGGTCAAAAACTCATTCAATACGCATTGAACATATGGACCCTGAAGATGAGCACCCAAAAAGATGAGCACCCAAATAGAACTAAAGGGGCGAAAGTTGTAAAAGTAGACGTGTCAATCGCATCCGCTGGAGTTGTTGATTTGATGAAAAAAAGATGTCATAGTGATCAAAGAAAGGGATCAACTAACTCAAAAGATTCCTTTTGCCTTACAGGAATTAGTTGATCCCTTATACCACAAACTCCTCCAGATTCCTCCCATGAATATGTTTGTGTGATTCTGTCGCAAGTCCACACTCTCACAGTGCAAGGTTCCTCTTCCAAGATCGCGGCCACTCCAGCAGACATGTCCACAGAAGATCTGAGGATGGGCGAAGCTCTGGCATGAGCATGGGTGTTTGGGGGGTCGAAGTGACAACCACAAAACCGCCAAGTGCGAGCATCTCCACTTGTCTTTGGGACGTGATTAAAACGTGCACCCACCACGAATCTTGCAGCGATCGCAAAGTTCATCAAATTTCGAACTGGCTCCTAACAGGTGCGTCCGTCTTGGGCATAGTATGTCATCCCCCGGAACCCAAACTGCGCGGTCATGGTGTAACACGGTCACAGCGAAGGACAGACTCTCGCCAACACAAGAAGTGTCAGCTCCCTGCGACCACCTCTAAGCCCCCAACGGAAGCAAGGCCGCCGCCAGCAAAGGCCTCCCAGCCGATGGAGAACTGGGGAAGGAATGGCTACTGATACAACAAACACTATGGCTATTGAGATCAAGAGCCTTCAAAACAATGGCTATTGTGTGTTTCTGCAAAGAGCTAAAACAATCAACAGTTGCATCCTAATCAACAGGTGGTGCTCAGGTGGAGCTCAAGATTCTACAGGACTTGTTGAAGGGTATTTGCTGAATGAACCTCATGCAAAGAAAGTCACTATGGATCGTCAATTCGGGTGCCAGTCAACCTCCACCTGTACACCAAAACTAGTCCGTGCCGATTCGCCGATGTTCATGAATCCCTGGTGTTGTCGACTTCGCATGAATACGCTTCAATTCCATAAGGATCAAACATGCATTGCTTTTAGACTTGGTCCTCTCCATGTCTATCATGGGGCTGGGCGGGGCCAAAACCGATTGTCCGCGGATGTTCCCCGCAGAAAACAGCAACGGATTATTACAAACAATTACAAAGTACGGAGTTTAGAGCCACCACAACAAGGAAGAACCATGATTATATTTGCAAACGAATCTACAGAATCTGCTCACACAGCACTGGGAGTCGTGCTTCGTCAGGTACTCAGCCATCGACAAGGAGGGTGGGATGGTGGCCTGGCAAGGCAAAAATCAGCTTAATGCTGGGAGGTTGGCGTGTGCAGGCATATAGAGAATCACCTGACCGGCAGATTGGTTCTGTTTGTTTGACTGTTCAAGCCTGGGAAAGGCCTGATCTATGTATGGAGTTTAAAGTCAAGTAGAGAAGAAAAAGTTGTATACCATTCTCGGAACTTGCGCGGCCAATGCAGTTTTGATGTTTATGCTATTTAATCTATTTTAAGGGCGCCCCCCAACGGCTCCGGGCAAGACGCCTGAGCCTCCAGCGCCAGGGTCAACAGCCGCTGCAGCGCTGCCTCCTCGGGCGGAGCGCCTGTCTCGGGAAGCCGCCGCACTGGTGCCTCCAAAAAACTGCAAATGCAGGGTCAGGTCAAAGGGGAGTGAATGGACCTGTGACATGTTGGAACTGGGACCGGGTCACCTAGACAAGTGAAAGCAAGATACTCAAAGACACTTAATGGGTCCTGATCAACCCACAGACACAAGCGGAGCAGCTCGCACTGAAACCCGCCTTCTTCCGTGACTTGGCAGCCAGCGCCAGGCACAAGCACGCGGCAGCGAGGTGGTCTGGGAGCGAGGTCTCAGTTCGCCACACTCACACTTCGAGTCCTCTCAAAGAACGGTAAGCTCTGACTCATCATGTGTGGTAAGAGCTGTCGCAGTATTGCCGGGAGCAACGACCTTGAGCTGCTTGGCAAAAAGGGATATCGAAATCAAGAGCCAACCTTTTGGTATGGCCACCTTCGTTCCGCTGAACCAACGAAAACTAGAGCTGAGCTTCTATATAGAAAAGTAAAAACCCCCAGATAAATCTAGAAATAGTCTAGAAATGGAAGATCTACCCGATTCATCTGTATGAATTCGATGATGTTCTTTGCATTTTCCGGCCCACTTCCCGACCACCCACCTCCGGCTCCCCAATCTCGGCCTGCTTCAGCTGCTGAGGGGTTCTCCAAGTGTGCCACCTCCCGGACACCACGAGCAATGCATGAGGGACATGGAGGGATCCCTCAAGGTTTCTGAAACAGAGTTGGAGGTGTTTGGATGGCTGTTGGAGCTGTTGGTCATGTTTGGTCCCTTTAGGAGAAGTACTTGACCAAGCAGCTTGTCTGCATTCTTCTTTCGTGTAGGTCAACAACCACACGATGGTGAAACCCAACATGTTCAGAAGTCTATATGGATCTTCACAGACCGCAACGGGATCGTTTGTCACGATCCCAGCACCTTGAGACGCTGGAAGGCCACATCCATCAGAGGCCTCAGTCTTCTCTTTCGGTTGAGACGGATGGGCGACATGGAGAGTTCGAAATGGTTTTGGTCTCCAACTGGTGGATCAATGGGTCTTTAGCCTCTGGGAGTTTGAGGGTCTTTAAGGATCCCGGTAGATTTAGGGCTTCCAATTCTTTAGCGCCTCAAAATCAGAAATTCCCGCCCCAACCACAGGGCTTTTCATCTACTCTTCCCATTGCCATTGAATCTCTGAGGAGTCCTGTTGTGAACCGAGACAGGGCAAAATCTTGCATGATTCCATCTTTGATACCTTCGAGCAAGGTCACCACCCACGCGCGCGCTGTGGCGCGCCTGGCCCCTTCGGAGTCCAAAACCAAAGGATGTTCGGCCATGGAAGCCTTGGGTGCTTGAGGATCAAACCAGAAAGAAAAAACTAGATATACATATATATATATACATATAATATATACACACCAAATGATTGTGTTTGTGGTTTTGGATCTGACCCTCTGGGCAACAATCGAGTGATGCGCTCCTTTCAAATCCCTGTCCCTTTCTATGTTTGTATTATCATATCGCCTGCTTCGATCGCAGTTCGCGCACAGCCGTTGCTGAAGTCGATCAAATGTTCAAACCCTTGCAAGGGTCTAGTATGATGCCTCAAAGGGAGGGGAAGAATTCACAAATGATTGTACAAACCACCTATGAAGGCTCACGCACCATCAATCGGCGAGTGAAATCGCCAAACGAATTTCACACACACCCTATAGCTGTGCGTCATCTTGAGGTGCCGCACGAGTAGGCGCACCAGTTGCCTTGAGGTCAGAGCCCCGCGGGCCTGATAAAGCTCCTGGCTCAGAGTTGTATTGGAGTTGTAGGTTGTACTGTACGTAAGATACTGTTACTCCAGGAAAGAACAAAGATTGCTGCGTAGGGAATGGTTCAAGTAGATGAAAGTAACTGCAAAAATGGCATGAATCTGCTCTTGTGAGAGTTATACAATGACCCGGTTGTTCTTTCTACCAATCCTGCAGGAGATGTTATAGCATGCAGCCGATTTCGTTTTCGCTTGCAGTTGAAACCATAACATATGGTCAGCACATACCGAAGCCCTTTGTTCAAAGCAGAAAAGGACAGCAGCGTCCTTTGAGTGGGTTATGAGCCCAACCACGCCCACGTGGTAAGGGTTCTCGTTTTTTGGTTTGGTTCGGAGTGTTCGCCATGAGCGATGATGCCTCGCTGGAGCGAACTCCTGAGAGTGGTGGCGTGAAAGCCATAGAAGATGTCCCACCTTCGGCAGGGGTCATCGCACGCCCGGAGGGACCTCCGACAGTCCTGGGTCCGGCCAACTGGAATCCTTTCTGGAGTGAAGGGATGAGGGATGAAGCGATTTTACGTGCCATTAGGCCCATGGACCTTCCTTCCGAATCCACAGAGCTTGTGCCGGGTGAAACTCCTTCAGCTAGCCCGCCTCGTGAAGGGGCAGAAGCTTTCAAGGCAATCCTCCAGGGCTTGATCAGTGAAAATGCTCGCCTCTGGACGGAGAGAGAAAGTTGGGGTCCACCTGCAGGTGCTTGGCCTCAAGGTCCTCCATGGATGATGCCGGATGGTGGTGCTCGAGAGAGATCTTCATGGGGGTCTATGTGGGGATCCATGAGAATGCCCTCAGGGACACCGGGAATGCCCATGAATGGAGGACTCCTTGGACCTCTCTCGAATGGTGGTTCTGGTGGGGGACAGTTTGGTGGGCAAGCCTTCAATGGTGGATATGGTGCTTCCTCTCCGCATCAGGGCGGTCCGAAGACGAGTTTGATGGAAGTGTTCAACCGGGTGTCTTCGGCGGCGGCAGGTGGTGTCATGCAATCGTTGCTCCCAGGTGTGATGGACATGTCTCGGGCGTTCACAAAGACTGGCTCTGGGGCGATGGCTAAGGAAATTTCATCGACGTTGGGAGCTGGGCCAGGTCACTATGAGGCAGGGGGTCTCAAGGGTGGCACCGCTGCGGTTCCAGGTGATTCGGGACAAGATCATGGAAAGACAGTGTGTGGCCCCGGTGAAGCCACAAGTGAAAGGGACCAGTCGGTGAGGGGGTCCACGAAGACGGACAATGGGGTTCCTTCGGCAGGTCAAGGAGGTGATGGTGTTCCACGAGGACATCCTGCTTGGGGAGCTCAAGGGCAAGGGATCTATGGTGACCTGGGAGGACTTCAAGGAGGAGTACCAGGTGGCGGTCTTCATGGCGGGGGTGGAGGAGGTCCACAACATCCCAGAGGTGGTGGCTTTCCTGGCCATCCAGGCCATCCAGGCGGCGGTGGTTTTCCAGGTGGAGGAGGACTTCCGGGACCTGGGGGAGGCGGCTTTCCTGGAGGTGGTGGCTTCCCTGGTCATCCAGGCCATCCAGGCGGCGGGGGTTTTCCAGGTGGAGGAGGACTTCCGGGACCTGGGGGAGGTGGCTTTCCTGGTGGTGGCTTCCCAGGCCCTCCAGGTGGTGATCCAGGTGCTCCATATGCAGGTGTTCCTGCATGGCTGGGAGGGCTCATGGCACAACAGGAGTCGGTGAGGGCAGTGGACCTTCCTGCACTACCGGAGTTGTCGGAGTCGGAGATAGGACCTTTGATTGCCGGCGATTGGTTGACCACAGTGGGGCCGTTCTTGCGTGATATGAGTTCCAGCTCCTCTATGTGGTGGGATGAAGTTCTCAACGTGGCAGGTGCTTTGTATCGGGTTTGGTTGAACTCTGAGCCGATGGAGCGTTTGAGGTTGGTGCCAGTTGCTCCACCTGCGTTTCAGAGACCACCATGGCTTCGCATTGAACAGCGGGGGTCGGTGGCTTTGCTCAAGGCCATCCCGGAATCACTACATCAGAACTTGTATCCCAGAGGGAGGTTGGATCAGTTAGCATCATCTTCAAGATCCTCCGCGTGTACCAGCCGGGTGGCCTTGGTGAGCGTACAACGTTGCTCAAACAATTGGTTGATCAAAAGGTGCCATCTGCGTTGGGAGAGTGGCTGACATCTTTGAGGGCATGGCGACGATGGTTGACGCGAGTACAAGAGCTCGAGATCCAGCCCCCTGACCCGGTGCTCCTTTTGGCCACACTGGACCGTTTTGCAGCTGGACTTGCTAAGCATTCCTCACAGGTGGCTTTTCGCCTTCAGGTGACTCGGGCGGCGCTTCGGGTGGACGTTGCTCCTACCGAGAATGGGATTCAACAGTTCGCGGAGTCGCTTTTGGCGGAGGGTGAGGCAACCTTTCATGGAGGTTCGACAGCCCCCATCAAGGAGACGGTCAAGGTGCGTGCTTTGGATGGTGATGGAGTTGGGAAAGAAGATGGTGGAAAACCGCGGGACGGGAAGGAGAAGGTGAAGGATAGCGCTGACTCCAAAGACCAGCGGGACTCCAAGAATGTGAAGGTCGACTCCAAGAATGTCAGGAACGACAACAAGGCTGGCGGATCTGAGAAGCCGGTCTGCCGTTACTTCCTCTCGGAGTCGGGGTGCAAGAAGGGACAGAAGTGCTCGTTTCCCCACGAATGGAAAGGGATTTCAAAGCAGGGCCGGTGCTGGACCTGTGGCTCAACGCAGCACATGAAACCGGATTGCCCCGTCAAGGATGTGCCTAAGGTCAAGAAGGAGGTCACGGACGAGTCTAAGGGCAAGGAGGTGGGTGGAAAGAATGGGGAGAACTCGGGCGCGCTGCCAAATAATGGGACTTCGGCCACTACGTTCACTCCACCGACTATCCAGCCATCAGATGACTTGGTGAAGGAGGCGGTACAGCTTCTGAAGTCACTTCGACCATCGGTCAAGGCCGTGAATATGCGCTCAGTCAACCCGAAGGATGGACCTTCGAGGGCACTACTGGATGGGGGCGCCACCCATGTGCTGAGACCCGCGCACTCGAAGGCGGAATTTGACAGGGCTATCCCCATCAAAGTGGAGTTGGCTGCTGGGGTGACCACGCTTCGACAGGTGGAGACGTCTGGGACTTTGTTGACGGACTTTGATACCCAAACGATCGTGCCGCTGGGGAAGATTGTCCGGCTGGGCTATAAGGTCAAGTGGGAGGGGGAATCCTTCGAGCTCTGGAACCCGGCCAACAAGAAGGTGGAGGTTCTCCTGGAAGCTGGATGCCCAACAGTGGAGCTCAAGGTGGCCAACCACATGATTGAGGAGCTGGAGAAGTATGAGGCCGACATGAACCGGCGTGTGGCCGCTCTCAAGGCCGGTAATCCTGGGGACCTGGCTCCGAGTGTTTGGAGGTGGCTGAACGATCTTCGAAAGATGTGGCCTGAGGTTCCTGACGAATTGATAGCAAGGGTGGTCCCTACAGGAAAATGGTCTGGCGAGCAGGTTCCGTTGAATCGTAGACAACGTCAACGTGTTCTTTCGAGCTCGTCAGTGATCTTGCACCTTTTCTCAGGCCCGGATCAAGCTTGGTGGAAGAAGCAGCTCGATTCCAACTCCAGGACGGTCCTCTGCATTGACAAGTCCGCTGATGCTGCTCAAGATCTATTGTCAGATCATCTAACCAGCTTCCTGGCCGAGGTGTGTGAAAAGGGGGTTGTGGATGTGATCCTAGGAGGACCTCCGTGCCGGACGGTTTCCAAGCTTCGTTTCAGGAGACCAGGTCCACCACCACTCCGAGCACGATCTGGGCCGGAACGTTTTGCTTTGAAGGACCTGTCTGACTCTATGCGGGAACTGGCGTTTAGGGATGCTGTCTTGTGGATGAGGCAGCTGTGGCTCTACACTCTGGCAAGTGCAGCTCGCAACCGCTTGGTGCTCTTTCTCAAGGAGCATCCGAGGGATCCGGAGGAGTACAAGACCCCAAACGACCCCATCGAGTACCCGTCCTTCTACGCTTGGCCGGAGTGGGAAGAGTTCCGAAATAGGTTTGATCTCAAGGAGGTTCGTCTGGACTTGGGAGCTCTAGGTCATGATCGTCGCAAGCCAACCACCTTGGGAACTAACATCCCGCTTCTCTTCAACCTCAATGGTTTGTCTGACCATCGTGCTCGTGATCAGGTGGTTAGCACAGAGGCATCCATGGAGGAGAGATCAAACCAGAGCAGGGGATGGGCAGCGTGGCCTACAAGATTCAAGGAGGAGGTGGTCAAGGCCATCATCTTTGAGCTCGATGCCAAGTGCAGTGCATCGATGGAGGGAGATCACGCAGCTGTGGCCAAAATGACGGCTGATCAATGGAAGACGCATGTCTGGAATGATCATGTTCCGTTCTCAAAGGAGTGCACTACCTGCCTGAGGGGGGCTGGGAAGAGCAGGCCTCATCGAAAGGTTCCGCATCCAGATGCTATGACACTGAGCCTAGATGTTTGTGGACCTTTCAGACCGGGCGAGGACTACCGCAAAAAATCCCGCTACTTCCTTGT